TGCTTGATCCTGCTTGGCTTGTATTTAATCTTCATTACAGCTCACCCATTTCTGCTTTGTCTTTATTCCTCACGTATGACTGTTCTGAGTTTCAGCCAAATGCCTGAATGCTCAGCCATATTTTTCTCCTCTTGCTACTCTGAATTGCATTGTTTCCTAGCCTTGAACAGCCTTTGGTATTCATCTCTGACACGTGGCAGCTTCTCATCCCTGAGCCTCATAGGATCCAGTACTGTGCTCACAGAGCTAACGATACGCAGGAAATGGCCAGGCAGGCAGGCAGGCAGGCAGGCACGCAGGCACGCAGGCCTCTCTGGTAGAGCTTTCTTCTCTTTAAGATGCTGCTGAGCCTCAGTAGTCCTCACCCCTGATTTCTACCTTCTTAGATCAGTGATACTCAATGTATTTTGGGGGCCTCATTTTCGTCACCCATACCTGAAACACGACTCCATGCACAAAGTGGGAGCAGAAGCAAGACTCACCACCTAAATTTCCCTTCACGCACTGTTTATTTGTGTGAAACTTAGTGTTGAGTATGATGAAAGATACAAAGAAATAAATGTCAGGAAGCTTACAATTAGAAAGGAATTGTCTGTAGAATTGTACTATAAAATTCAGAGTAGTTTCCTCATCTTCCAACATTTGGGAATACTGATTAATATCTAGTTTTTTTAAACCATTTTTAGACCTCATATTTCAAATCTAGTTTGAGATTAGGAAGGATATCATGTGCCAGAGAGATTTACATCCCAAATTATATTATCAGTGCATTGTATTATTCAGAATAATACCATATGCTCAGAGGCTGCCATGTCAAATTCTGTCTAATTTAGTTTTTAATGGTATGTGCATAAAAGTTGAATGTTTCTCAAGGTCTCAGAACAGACTACAAAAATGTTTATATCTGTCTCAGGCCCTTTGGTCTAGTTCTTATTGTGAGATTTCATTTCTTCAGATCTGTTTGTGTCTGATTCTGTCCCAGATACCTTGTTAAGATCTGTGTATACAGAGATGAAAGTCCTAATCAATGGCTTTGAAGCACTTGTAATCTGGATTTTTAAGCAAATGCAATAAAATATGGGTAAGATCTTTGCTAGAAATCAACTGTGGAAACACTTAGAAAAGACATTTAACCAAGGCTGGGGAGAAGGAAGATGTCAGGGAAGACTTCCTGGAGGTGGTGGTATCTGAGCTGAGTTTTGAAGTGGAGACAGGGTGAAGAAGGACTGAGACTAGGGAAATCATACTCTAGGGAGCTGCACTTGTCAGTATTGTGTCTGGAATTTGGAGATTTGAGGCAAAGATCATCGGGTGAGTTAGGCAGCAGGCAGTAAAATATGGGTAAGATATTTCACTTGCAGATGACGGGTTTGAGAAATTAAACATTGCCAGGTAGGCAGCAGTTAGATGGATCAGAGATTCACAACAATTGTCAACCAGAGCCGGGCACTCAATTGCTATGAGCCATTTCCCTGTTTAGGATTTCATTTTGTAATATCTAAAACAATATATGCTTATGGTAGAAATGAAAAAATGAAGTGAAGTATTCCATCACAATACTCCCACAAGTGTTATTTTAACAAGTTATAAATCCTTCTGGATCTTATGTATATAATTTTCTTTCATAAAAAATCTATTACATTCTATTTTCTATTTTGAGACTTGCTTTTTAATGTTTAGCTAGTATTTTATAATTTTTTTTGTATGTCAGCAGATATTTTTCTGAAATTTTACAATGTCTGAATAGCATTTCTTTGTTTATAGCATTATGTATTATTACAACACTGCTATTTGATTATATGGTTGTAAATGTATTTAGATATTGGACATTTCAGTTTTTTCAGTGCTTTGCTGTTAGAAATTATATTGAGGTGAACATTTTTGTCCAAAAAGGTATTTCTCTTAGTATATAGCTCAGTATTTTCTTAATAAAGTAGCTTTATTAAGTCTTAATATTGCAACAATCAGTTTATAAGATTAACGTACCTGAAATAATTAGAAGGCAATATAAGGTCATATCTCACCATCTCTTTATTAATCATCCTAGGGTTTTGCAGCATCTTAAGTGATGACTTTACTCACATCCTGTCCATATTGCAATGTTTAATTTCTCAAACCTGTCATCTGCAGGTGAAATTAACTACCTCAAGGGAGGTGCAGGATCAGAGTTCAACTCCATCTTATGGACAGTGGAGACCTCCTGGTTCTTGGAAGGGATGAAAAGACTCCTTAGGAAGTTCAGTCTGGGAAGGATGAACTGCAATAAATGGCATAAGAGAAGCATGTCCAAGTCTTAGCCATGAAGCTCAGCATGGGTTTGGGTGAGGTTGGGAAGACTTCTTGGAGAAGAAACGATGCCCAGGACCACCTGGTTGGGCTTGTACAGAGAACAGTGGAGTAACAGGTGTAATGGGAGATTGGAGTAGATGAATAGTGACGATGAATAGTATCAAAAATGTTTTCCAGTGCTGTAAATATATTCCCTGAAACTTATTACTTGACAATTTTATTTTAATACTGTTTTTTATTTTATTTTAAAGAACAAAAACAAAAGCAAAAACAAATAGAAACAAAGAAATAGGACAACATACAGAAATACGTATGTTACAGATTTTCAAAACAAGAGTAGCTAATCAACAACTATTATTATATTATCTATTTTTGCCATCAGATCCATTGTTTAGATTAACAGAAATAGTTATGCAAGACTGGACAAATAAGTGATTATTAGCACTTTCTTTTGAGAAACCTTATTTTTTTATTTTCTTGTCTTTTTAAAGTTTATTTTATAGAGAGTATAATAGTAATTGATAAGACATTAGAACTGGTACATATGTAGAAGACCAAGATGAGAGGTCTTCAATCACAATGCCCTTATGAGAAAATAGATGCTATTTGCATTTCTACAGAGAGGTAACAGAGGCTCACATTGGTATACATAGGGGTTGTGATCCAAACTTCAGCTCATCATTGCATCCCATCACTGCTATAGACCAGATTCCATAGTAGACAATGTTTCCTTCTTCCTTTTTGGCCTGCTAATCGTTTAGGGGAAGAAAGAATAAGCATTCATGGAGATCCACTGTGACAAACCCTATGTTATTAGTTTTACATAGGTTATCTAACTTAATCAAGCCCTATGAGAGCTATAAGAAAGTTGTATTTATCTGCCTGGGTTAACATGTAATTAAAATGTGATAGAGAAGAAATGTTATTTGATACCAAAAGGTCCTTGTCAGTGGCTCAGGTCATTTGTCATTTCCTTGATAATATCGTCTCAACCACGTCCAAGTCTTTGGGGTTAAGAGAGGGATCAATGACCATGAACAATTCTATTGAACTGTTATGAAATTGTCCTGGTTTAGGAGGTTCTGGGAACACTCTCACTCTTGCTGTTTCAGCACTTGTTCTATGGATGGAGCCTATCAGATTTAGGACAACTGGAGTTCTCGAACTGGGACGAGTTAGAGATGTCTGCTGATCTTATATCCCAAGAGACTGATTCCTGTTTATCAGTCTGGACTGTTCCCTGGCTATCTGTTCATCTGCTAAACTATGTCATAAAATGTCCTGTGCATAGAGAAGAGAGGGATAGGTTGTTGGCATTGGGGAAGCTCAAGAAGGGCAGAAGCTAGGATCAGCACAGCATGATTAAGTCCCAGTGTTCTTGGGTCACATAATCAAAAACTGCTGTTGCTCTGATCCACATTCTGTGGTCCATTTCCCTCCTAGCTTATAGATAGCTGCCTCAGGTCATAAAAAATACATTCAGCGATGTGAAACATAATAGATATGACCAAGTAACTAAAAAAAGTTAGACATAAACAATCTTACTGTATTAAAATGTTTAGCTGGATTCATAAGAATAGTCACAAGGCCATCCTTAGACACCTGCACTGAATTGAACCAGCAGAAGAAAATTTAGGACAAATGAGGAGGCTATTTGGCACACTGAACAAAAGAGCTTCTTTAGGCTCAGGGAGTAGAATGAGAATTGGCACAATCTTTTTGGAGAATGCACAGAATCAAACAGAAGTAGAGTTTTCAGAGTACAATATATGTCAGGGGAATAGAAGGCTGATAAATAGCACTTGTTTTTTAGGGGAAAATGAGAGTAAATCAGGGAATTCAAAGAGAAATAGTAATTTTATTCAAGTGGCAGAAGACACAACTAGGCTCCACTATGTGTAAATAAAAAGGAAACAGGTGAAAACATACCAGAAATCAGTATGATTTTATAGGAATATAAAGTTAGTTTTATGGTGGCAAAGTCTTTTTCATTGCTAGAAAACTCCTAGCTCAGTACTAACTGTGGACAGTCCACCCCCTCACAGCTGTATTTAGTTGTTCTTTTTTTTTTGGCTTTGAACCCTGGAGAGGAGTCCAACACTGTCCCAGAGTTCTGGAAGGAGGGCCAAGGTTAGATATTGGAATTCATGCTTTAATTTATCGTTGTGATTCATAGGATAGAACAATGATTGGGAGGATACATGTTAGAATTTTGGCTATGTGAAATTAATATGAAATATTAAATTGACTGAAACAACTTGAAGCAATTTAGAAACTCCCAGTCTCTTAGGATAAAACTTATAATCCTATTTAGAAATTCCTGATGTGATCACAGATGTGAGATTGGTGTTTTTCACATTACCTATTAATTAAAAAGTATATAATCCAAAATAAATTAAATGGCAATATATTATAAATTTTTATTTCATTAAGCTTTCACAATATAAATAATTATCCATCCAGTCAACATAATAGAGTCATATTTTCCATTGGCTGCTGAAAACCAAGGAAATAACTTCAATCATGGTAACAACTCATTATGGAGTGACCTACTACTGAAATAATTTATTGATTCCAGTAGATTTTTAAATTGTGGGGTTAGTTATTTTGTTAGGCTTGATGGAAAACAGATACAATTGGAGCAGAAGAATTAAGGATATGTTGCATTACTACTGACAATCAGAAATTCATCATACTTTTTGTTTTCATAGGCTCACGCCAAAATCTGGCACCTCTACAACACTTCCTTTCGTCCAACTCAGGGAGGCCAAGTGTCCATTGCCCTAGGTTCCCACTGGATCAGTCCTCGAAGGATGACTGACCACAACATCAAAGAATGTCAAAAATCTCTTGACTTTGTCCTTGGCTGGTTTGCCAAGCCCATATTTATTGATGGTGATTATCCTGATAGCATGAAGACTAACCTTTCATCTCTTCTACCCAATTTCACTGAATCTGAGAAAAAGTTCATCAAGGGAACAGCTGACTTCTTTTCACTTTCCTTTGGACCAACCCTGAGTTTTCAACTACTGGAGCCACACATGAAATTCCACCAAGTGGAATCTCCCAGCCTGAGACAACTCCTCTCCTGGATTGACCTTGAATATAATCATCCTCAAATATTTATTGTGGAAAATGGCTGGTTTGTCTCAGGGACCACGAAGAGAGATGATGCCAAATATATGTATTACCTTAAAAAGTTCGTAATGGAAACCTTAAAAGGTAAGATATTTAAGTACACTTCTCATTCCATGCCAAAATCCCCTGGAAAAGCACTCTTTTAATGATCTACATTGTACTACACGAATTAGTATTTTTTAATCATAATGTAGAAATTCATTTTGGCAGTAGTATGGAGGTATTTATACAACTTCTTTCACATTTGGGGTTTTGAGGAGCCCAAGTTAATTTTTGAAACTCATTTTGTAAAGAGAAACTGGATTAATATTTGAAATTACCTGACTAGCAGAGATACTAATCCAAATCTTTAAGTTCTATTAAATGTAATAGAAATATAAGGATATCTATCTCTCAGTACACATTTTTGAGTTCTTACTGTTTTGGATGAATGAAATACTTTTTTAAAAAAGGACTACACACACTATCTGGAGAAACTAATAGTTCATACTTTAAAATACATTATTTATTTAATGTATTTGCATGAGGCACAATTGTAGGTGCCTAGGATGAAAAGTAGAATAAGACACCTTCCTAAACATATAGATAGCCACTGGGAAAAATATATATCCTATCTCAAAAATCCAGATAAAATCGTTTTGGAAGTAAGCTTATTTGTGAAGATATTTATTCATAAAGATTTGGGTAGAGCCTTTTGTCAATAAGAAAGATCAATAGCTGTGTCACACAGGAAGAGTTATACATAATTAACCTGTGACTTTCTTGAGTCTTGAGGTGGGTGGCCAGTGCAGGGTCATGCCACTCTTGTCCTGTCTTGTCTTTGCAGCCATCAGGCTGGATGGAGTTGATGTCATTGGGTACACGGCATGGTCCCTCATGGATGGTTTCGAGTGGCACAGAGGCTACAGCATCCGACGTGGACTCTTCTATGTAGACTTTTTGAGCCAGGATAAGAAGTTGTTGCCAAAGTCTTCAGCCTTGTTCTACCAAAAGCTGATAGAGAGCAATGGCTTCCCTCCTTTACCTGAAAACCAACCCCTAGAAGGGACATTTCCCTGTGACTTTGCTTGGGGAGTTGTTGACAACTACATTCAAGTAAGTCAGCTGACAAAACCAATCAGCAGTGTCACCAAGCCCTATCGCTAGTAAGTAGAGCTTCCTTATTAGGCTCTTGTCACAGCACACTGTCTTTCTCTGGGCCACACATGGAGCCCTTTGAGCACACAAGGTACATGACATGTGATGCTGCTCCCTTCTCTCCAAAAATCATCCAGTCTTTACCTTGTACTTTAAATTGGATCCAAAGGGGGGGAAATTTGGCAATATTAACATTGCATTAGACATAAATCTATAAAATATGAATTTTTAAGACGAGATAATACAGTTAAAATAACACTTTAAGTATTGTGATTTTCTTTTTCCTTTTTTTCTTTTTGGTGGAACCAGGGATTGAACTGAGGCCCTTGCGCTTGCCAGGCAAGTGCTTATTCTACTGAGCCATCTCCTCAGCCCCAGTATTGTGATTTTCAATTCTTCGTAAGCTATAGTCACTAAAATGGTATGGAAGTACTTCAAAATGATTAATCAATATTTATTCAGCATCTACTATGCAGTTAACCCTTAGTATTCTTTTAAATCTCCTTAGTTTAACAGGGGCTTGTTTTTTCTTGCTAGTCCTTCAGTAAGCACTTACTGCATGCCGAGTGTGTACATATCCCTGTGTGATGTGCTGGGGTCACTCGGTTAAGGGTAGTGCAGGTAGGCAATGCAGTGCCATGACTGAAATGACCCCTGCTTAGAGCAAAGATATCTGCTGAGAGTAAATGGTGGATTTACAGACAGAGTAACAAAGTGATGGAGTGCAGGGAATGTGGTGGCAGGTGGTAAGTGAATAGGGTGGAGTCAGGTAACAAAAAGTAAAAGCACTGCACATAGATCATAGCACACAGCAGCAGCTAGACCCCAAAATGAGGCTTTAGGAATTTAAAAGATATGCACCATAGCCCAGGTACTTCACCATGAATCTCTAGGTGTGATTGAAGGAATGATTAATGGGATACTGAGTCATTTTAGGGGCTCCCAATGTCCATAATTGTCCCAGAATTCACTCCTATCTTAATTACATGCATGCATGTATTACAGATTGGTGAACCCTTAATGAGTTTGCAGCAGGATGAAGGACAGGCTAGGAGATCCAATGTGCCCATGTACTCACCTAGGACATCAGACATCTCCTAAGTTACTGATACTTTATTTTTTTATCTCTGTTAGGACAATAGAAGGAATGACCATATGGCTCTATTTAAAGTTAAATAGGTGGGAGGGAGCGACTTCCTCAGTTCTGTTGTTTCTAACTGTACTAGACATAGAGCTAGTAAGGAATGAGGAGAGATGGATGAAGGAAGGAAGATGCCTCTCACAGCTTCTACCTCCTCCCTGTTATTGATGCTATGGGTGGATTCCATACAGCTTAGTTCTTGTTCTACCTCTATACCCCTTTCCACTCCCTACAGGCTTTGCACCTTGTCACAAACTCTTCTTCCAATAGTGGCCCAAGTCTGGCAGGTAATTCCCAAGCTAGCCCTGTGCATGCAGAAAAGTCTTCGGCCAGCATGTATGTGGAGTGTGGGTGCAGAGGGAAGGTGGTTGAGAAGGACAGCATCTTACTCCTGCACTGTTCCCCTGCAAGAGCTGCAACTCTGCTTTGGGGAATAGTACACATTGAGAAGGTGTTAAAGGTGTATCGCATATCCTTAAGACAGACGAGAAACTGTTCAAAAGAAAAAAAGCATGGCAGCGGAGAAGCAGAGAGATGGGGGAGAGAATTTCTTTTCGACACCCTAGAAGCACTTGTTTTATGATTAATACGTGCCCAGTATCCCTTTCTCTTCACCTATCCCAACCTTTTCACTTCCTTCTCTGGAGAACCCAGCACAAAATAGTCACTTTCCTACTCACAGTGGATGTGAACTACTCCAGGAGCGCTCTGGTAGGAAACACTTACAATTGCCATTGTCTTTTTATCTGCTTGGCATCTTGGACTTTGCAATATGTTGGCAGATTCCATCCTAAGCTAACTCCTTAATTGACACAACAGGGGGTATTCTTTGTTCTCACCATTCTGAAGGGTGTGTGTGTGTGTGTGTGTGTGTGTGTGTGTATGTGTGTTTTCAATGGCAGGCAGGGTTCTACACTTTTAGCATGTTATACTAAAATTCCTGAGAAGTGATATTTTTTTAAACCATGAAAATTTATCTTTTCCTTCCTGATTAGGATTTCAAACTATTAATATTTGAGGCATACTTTTACCTTGAAACACTAGAAAATAGTATTTCACTCAGCACCTAACCTGTCTGAAGTCTGACTTTGGGCTCATTCACATGGCTTGTCACTTTATTTGGATCTGATTTCCTAGCTGGACAGTATGCTTTCCCATAACCATTAACATGTGTATGTGCATAGTTAATAGAATACAGAATGTACTACATGCTGAGGACATAGAACTTCTTTGACTTTAGCCCCTCTTAGGAGAAAGTCTCTTCCATAACATACTAAATACATGCTTTATGCTTATTTCTTCACAAAGGTCCAATTTGATTATTTCAATTTTTAGTAAAATTTAAGTCAATGAAGAAATGGAGGCTAGATGGGATTTTGCCTAAATGCTCATTTCTGAATGTTGCATAGTTTTTATTTATTCACATATTTATTTTTTGGTACAGGGTCTCACTATGCAGTTCAGACTCAGTGATCTTCTTGATCTGTTGCTGGGCCTGCACTACCACATCTGGTTTCAGGGCCAGCACAGTAAGCCCAGGGTTCTGCGGCCTGCACGGCATGTGGTACCAGGGATTGAACTTGGGTCCTTGTGCTTGCCAGGCAGACACTTAGACCACCGAGCTATCTCCCTGGCCCAATGTCCCATATTTTTAAGAAACTTATTTTTCCCTCAGAATTTATAGCTTGGTGTCTCCCACTTTTTTTCTGATAGACTGAGTAAAACCTATTATTTTGGAATGATTCTAGTAGAAAGTTAATTTAGCCAACTCAGAGATCTATAAAAATAGCCCAGCAACTTCCTTCAAGGTCTGACCACTTTTACTTCAAAAGAGCATGCAACTTTCTCTTGTGAAGCTGAAGAGATATGACTTATGGGGCTATCATACTGGAAAGACCCCTGACAGCATTCCCACAGTGCTAGGAGAAATTCATGCATGGGTGATCTATAAGGCAGAGTTCTCAGAAAAGCAATTTCCCTCTTACATAATGCTCTTTATTACTTTTCTCTAGTAAACACAGCACTTACACCTCCAGAGAATGAGAAGTTCATTTTCTTTTCTTTTTTTTTTTTTATGAATTTTAAGACAGGGTCTACAGGATCTCACTATGTAGATTGGACTCAGAGTGATTCTCCTCTTTTCAGTCTCCTGAATGCTGGGTTTACAGGTGTACACCACCATGCCCAGTTTCAATTGCCGTGTCTGCACACCCTGGGGTATTGAACCCTGGCCACCATGCTCTGTCTAAGCAGATGCTTCAGTCTACTGAGGTATCTTCTCAGCCCAGAGCAGTTTATTTTCAACACACCAGTAAAATTTGACCAAACCAAGGGAAGAGCTTCTAAACTAGGGTTTATCTGATCCAGGTCAGTAAAAGGGTTAGAGCAATGCCCCTGCTCTAATAGAGTTATTTTGGAGGAGACCCTCGTTAGGTTGTGAGCTTCAAGGTGGACTTCTCAGTTTGTGTAGAAGACTTGGAAGGAGGAGTTTGCTTTTACAATTTGAACACTTTTCCTATAAACTTATTTTCACTTTGGAGGCTTATCTGTAATATTTAATTGAAAACCATTCTTGTCAATATCATGACAAAAAATAGTTTAGAAAACTGAAGAAAAGCTATATTTGCAAACATCTCTCTGGGTAAATGACAATGTTGTTCTTTTTTTTTTTTCTTTCTTGCACATTCTCACTCAGACTTTCTACATCAGATTGAATTTGTTAAATTCTATCATTGACCCTGACACCAATGAAAGGCAGCAGTTAGCAAATCTCAGTATAGAATGTGATTTTAAGAAGTACAATTTAGTTAGAATTACTTTCTGACTTTAGCTTACTCAGTTCTAAAGCTCTTCTGTGCCTACTCATTTTTTTTTAACAAATCTAGTTTTGCTTTTTAAAGACTTAGACCACATGTGATTTCCTACATTAAATGGAAAATGCATGAAATACACTCTATTTGCATAGCCCAGATTGCCTGCGTGTGTGACTATCATTAGTGTTCATCACCTGAAGTGACCAAAGTCAGAGCGTTTTTAATATTAATGTAACAGTTGAAGAGTTGGGGAGAACAATAGTTCGTACCAAGGGGAAGTGGAAAATTTTCCTCCTTGCAACATTTATGAAAAATTTTCAGCTAGACAAGAGCCTAATTTTGCTCATCATGTCTGCTAGTTTTGTTGAAATAATTGCACCGACCTGCATTCTTCAGAACTGTGCAGTGAAGCTTACATTTACTCTCTACTCTTTGTAGGTAGATACCACTCTGTCGCAGTTTACAGACCCCAACATTTACCTATGGGATGTCCATCACAGTAAGAGGCTTATTAAAGTGGATGGGGTTGTGGCCAAGAAGAGGAAATCCTACTGTGTCGATTTTGCTGCCATCCGGCCCCAGATCACCCTGCTGCAGGAAATGCATGTCACGCATTTTCACTTCTCCCTGGATTGGGCTTTAATCCTCCCCTTGGGTAACCAGTCCCAGGTGAACCACACAGTCCTGGGTTACTACCGCTGCGTGGTCAGTGAGCTGGTGCGTGCCAACATCACGCCTGTGGTTGCTTTGTGGCAGCCTGCTGCCCCCCACCAAGGCCTGCCACGTCCCCTGGCCAAGCAGGGCGCCTGGGAGAATCCGCGCACAGCTCTGGCTTTTGCAGAATACGCCAGACTTTGCTTTGAAGAGCTGGGCCACCGGGTCAAGTTCTGGATCACGATGAATGAGCCATATACGCGCAACCTGACTTACCGTGCGGGGCATCACCTTCTGAAGGCTCATGCGCTGGCTTGGCGTGCGTATGATGAGAAGTTTAGACCTAGTCAGAAAGGTAAAATATCCATAGCCTTGCAGGCTGATTGGATAGAACCAGCCTGCCCTTTCTCCCAAAAAGACAAAGAAGTGGCCGAGAGAGTGCTGGAATTTGACATTGGCTGGCTGGCTGAGCCCATTTTCGGCTCTGGGGATTACCCACGCGTGATGAGGGACTGGCTGAACCAAAGGAGCAATTTTCTTCTCCCTTATTTCACTGAAGAGGAAAAAAAGTTAATCCAAGGCTCTTTTGACTTTTTAGCTTTGAGTCATTACACAACCATCCTTGTAGACTGGGAAAAAGAAGATCCCTTAAAGTACAATGACTACTTAGAAGTGCAAGAAATGACTGACATCACCTGGCTCAACTCCCCCAACCAGGTGGCAGTGGTGCCATGGGGGCTGCGCAGAGTGTTGAGCTGGCTGAAGTTGAAGTATGGAAACCACCCCATGTATGTAATTGCCAACGGGGTCGATGATGACCCACGGGAGGAGCAAGACAAGTTGAGGATGTATTACCTGCAGAATTATGTAAATGAAGCTCTAAAAGGTAAGTGTTCCCTGAAACCACAATGGTCCATAGTCCTGTCACCACAGTGCATGGTATGTAATGGAAGCTCTGCAACAGAGGCCACTGAAACCCTCAAGGAAGGGTCAACTGTTCCTGGACACATGGGAATAAAGATAGCCAGTTTTCTCAGAGCCAAAGGAGTTTGGGGCAAAGCAGAAAACTGAAAGTCCCTGGCACCTGCTCCAGTCTGCCAAAGCACAGATTCTCTATCTTTCCACCTCAGAAGGACCCACAGCCATCCTAACTTCTTTATGTAACATAAAGATTTAAGCCAAGTGCATTATAGTGGATTTAATTATGTAAAAAGCCAACTGTCGGATGTAACTCAATATATTTCTTGATCTTTGTCTATTTGTCTTTGCATGAAAGAAGGCTTTTTTAATTAAATCTAATTGAATCTAAGGTTTTATAAAATGGTATTGAAGTTTCTCCTGATGCACCCAGGCCATGTACAGGAATGTGCTATGTACAAAACATTTGAATAACTCCTGCCCTTTTGTTTTTCCAGCATACATACTGGATGGTGTCAATCTATGTGGATACTTTGCTTATTCATTTAATGATCGTTCTGCTCCAAAGTTTGGCTTCTATCGTTATGCAGCAAATCAGTTTGAGCCCAAACCATCTATGCAACATTACAGGAAAATTATTGATAACAATGGTTTCCTGGGCCCTGAAACTCTGGGAAGGTTTTGTCCAGAAGACTATAGTATGTGCACAGAATGCGGCTTTTTTCACACCCAAAAGTCTTTACTGATTTTCATTGCTTTTCTACTTTTTGCTGTAATTATTTCCCTTTCCCTTATATTTTACTACTCTAAGAAAGACAGAAGAAGTTACAAATAGTCTGAACATTTTTCCTACTTGTTTGTTTTGAAATAATTATGTGCACACATCAGCTGTTAACCATTTGTACCCTTCAGTGTTATGACACTAAATTTCATACATTTGGCTTCTAGAAACCCTTTTTGAGGCATATGGTGAAGGTTTTAAAGTGGGTAGAGGTTACTGTAAAATACTAAAAAGGTAAATATTGTCTGTGTTTCTTCCTTTCTGTTCATTAAGAAAAGGACAGGTGCCATAATTTCTATAATATTTTTTGAGGAAATCATGGAAAATGGTAACCTTTGTACACAAATGTGAATGTCGAGACTAGGCATACAGAGGAGACCTGAGTTCCAACCTGCCTGACATATGAACACCTTGGGTTATACCTAAAATTTTAGTTTTAACTTATAGCCAAAGTCTTGAGTTATGAGCCAAATACCAGTTTCTTCTGCTTCCATATGGTCTCAGATATAGATTTACCTCTCAAAGAGTTCTAGAAGGAACAGTACAACATCCTTTCCCGAATAGGCCTCACTGAGAAATCCTGGGCTAACGTCTCCCTAGGAATACTGAGATCAGGAGTATACAGGAAAGAGACTTTGAAGGCTGTGTGGAAACCTACAGTGGACACCTTGAGTTACAAGCAGCTCTTGGTAATAAATTGAGTTCATATGTGCTAATTTACAAACTTTTAAAATTTCATATTTTCCTTTAAGTGAAAACTGCAAGCATTAGCCTAAAAGGTTATATCCCAGGTAACCATCTCTCAACTGATGGCAATGCTTCTTCCTAATCAAGTTTCCCATGAAGATGATGGCAGGGTACAAACAGGAGAGAAAACTAAGTGGCCCTAGGCTGGAACATTCCTTTTAAAAGCTATATTTCTGTTGAATGCTGCTAATATTAATTTATGTATCTTGTTAGTGGTTTACTTAACAATTATGGATTCTTTTTTGTATGATGTTTTGAAGTACTCTCTAAATCATAGATCCTGGGGGTTTTGTCTTCCTCTGCTTATAGAGGGGTTTGTGCATAAAAGATTCTTACTGAATGTTTTCCAAAGAATGAAATAAAGACAAAAGAAAAGAAAATGAAAGGAAACATGAATCCCAAGATGATGGGTTCTTCAGAAAGTGGAAAGCAATAATGAAATGCAGAGTACTGCACTGGCCTGAGGTGGAAGAGAGAAGGAAGAAATATTTATGATGAGCAACATTATGATTAATTTGATTATACATCCTTTTTTGAGCAGACCTAAGAGTGAATGAGATTATCTTTCCTGAGAAAATAAGGATAAAATAATAACTCATCCTGTGAAGAGTGACACCATTTTTTTGTTCTTTAGACTATGCTGTAAATTTTCTGAATTGATAATTTTAAAACATGTTCAAAAACAATCAGGTCTGATAACACTGGAAAACTTGTTTTTGTGATCTCTAAGATCCTTTCTGTATTTTTGCATATGTGGAAGTAGCTTTGAACTAGTTTTACATTGAAGTTTTACACTGAAACATGTCACTGATTTCAATAGAAAGGGCTAATTAGGTCTTCTCTTTTAATGCCCTTTAAATAAATCTTGTTGATTTTTAGACAGAGAAGTCTCTCTATTACACTGGAGTTGTTTTATAGGTAAGTCAATATTGTATCAGGGATGATAAGCCAATCATAAGTCATAAATAACCTTGCTGACACAGGGTCATAGTGTATAATAAAATACTGTACTGTACTACGTATCATCTGGAGAGGTGGTATGATTTTTTCCATGAAAGATGAGCTTTTAGTGAAATTCTTTATAAAACTAGACTAATTATTAAAGTGAGACACTAAAAATATAATCATTTATTTTATGTATATATTTTTCTGAATGTAAGAGTAATATATGTTAATTGTAAAAATTGAAAACAAGCTATATGTAAAGAAAAAATAAAAAGTATAATTTTACAATCCAGAAGTAGTCGCTATTAATATTTGCTGTGTGTTTTATTTTACAAAGAAGAAGACATGTTATCATGGGTTGTGTCTAGATATACCTGCCAAGCCTCATCCAGTAATGGGGGGGGATGTTTCTTTTCAGAGGTGGTTGAATCCAGTTTGTGATTGATTCATTGTCCAATGCTGGAATTAAGGGTGTGAGTTCTACACCTGTCCTAGAGAAGGTAGCCTGCATACAAAATAAGGGACAGGCAGAATCTTGTTGTTCATTCTGCTTCTGCTGTTTTCTGCCGCCATTGACTGTTGCCCCTCTGGCATGCGCCACTCTGTCTTGGAGTCAGCCAATCATGGGCTTAAACCTCCACAAATTATGAGCTAAATAAATCTTTTTCTCTTTAACTTTGGATATTGGATATTTTGTCTCAGTAAGGAGGGAAATTTAACTAAAACAAATATAGTTGCTATCTTTATTATTATGTAAATTTCTTTGGTCATTAGTTTAAAAAACATAATTTTTAATAGTTGTAAAGAATTCTACTTTTTGGAATATATCACAACTTATGTAATTATTCCTATTCTTGGGCTTGCTTCTTATTAACTCTTGCTAATAATAAATATTAAATAATAAATAAATTTGCTGAAAAATAATTTTCTTGCCCCAGGTATGGTGGCATAACATGTAATCCCAGCACTCTGGGAGGCAGAGGTATGAGGATTCCAAGTTGGAGACCAGTGATTTAGCAAGATGGTTTCAAAAGCAAAAACAATGAAAAAAAAGAAAAACAAAAAAGAAATAAACTAAAGATATATATAGCTCAGTGCAAAGGTAGGGAAGGTGGCCTGGCTAGTTCATGTAGGTGAGCTAAGAGGGAATTTCAGGTACTAAAAGCAAAATACAAGAATTTCTGAAAGGGACAAGACACATAAGATATTTGAAGATAGTTAAATTCAATTATTCTGAGAGCCTAGCATTAACTTTGAATCTCAGGAGACCTTTGATGGCTGAATGGAAGAAGAGGATGTCTCTTCGATGAGGCCTGGGAACTCAGAGGGAGACAGGAAGGGGTGACAAGAAGTCTTTCTGGATTAATGGGGCTGTCTTAGTTGGTTTTCTTTGTTTTACTTGAACAGCACACATTGGGTTTTATTAGTTCACATTTTTTTAGAGTGGAAAGCCCACTGCTCTGGAAAGCTGCCTGTCTTTCACCATGTTTTGACTCAGTAAGAAGACCCTCACCAGATGAACACTTTGATAGTGGGCTTTCCAACCTAAAAATGTGAACTAATAAAACTCCTTCCTTTGTTCTTTACTGTAGGACTGGCGATTGGATCCAGGGTACCCTATGGGAGGCACCCTGCCATGGAGCTTTTTTCCTTTTTGACTACTGGGAATTGACCCCAGAGCCTTCACATTGAGCTACATTGTCAACTCGCTGATACTTTTGAGACAGCTTCTCAGTCACTGTCTAAGCTAGGATCAAACTTCCAATCTTGCTGCCTCAGCCTCCCAGAGTACTGGGATTATAGGTGTGTACTGCCACACCTGGCCCCACATTCATTTCTTAACTGGTGTCTCAGAGCACTACGTACTTTCTACTGTAGTCCTTTTCTTTGATCTTTTGATCTTTCTTTGATTGTATATAGATAAATAGATGATAGATAGAAAGATGCATGATAGATAGGTATTCTCTTAAAACCCCTATATTTTAAATTAAATTGTGGCCTCAATTTTATAGGGAATTTAAATGGTAAATTTGTAGTTCCCAGAGGCTTTAGGGCTAGTTCCCACAATAGTTGCAATTGCCTTCTTCTTAGTTTATTTTTCTCTGATTTGGAGGGATGAGTTTTCAGGTTCCCTAGGGACATTTATCATTTTACTTTTTTTTTTTTATTTCTACAGACAAAAATTAGAATCCCCTAGAGCCTTATAAGCCTTTTAAAATATTTGTAACAGTGCTATCTAACAAAGACATAATATAAGCTGTATATTTAGCTTTAAATTTCTAGTAGTCATTATTAAAAATAAATTTTATTAATTTGGTTAAATTTTAATTTCCCAAATATTCCCAAAATACTAGAATTTCAACCTATCGTTAATATAAAACTTACTGAGATATTTTACATTTTGGGGGCGGTGCCCTGGAAATTATGCTATATGCATGAAGCACATTAAATACTTGTCACATGAGGCTAACAGCTATGGTACTGAGTACCACAGCCCATTAAGTAGATTCCTAGGGTAATTCAGATTACCAAAGTATTAAACAGATTAGAAGAATAAATTTTTTTCAGGAGTCTTTTTAAACTTAATAATATACAAGCTTATAAACTCAACAATCTATAGAAATAATTGACATGTAAATTTACTATTGAAAAACTATTAAAGCAAACATTTTAAAAGGTCTACGTGTAGGAAGAAATTCTGGTAGCTTAATTTTGAGATAGCAAAAAAGGTGATACAGATGAATGTTCATTTTGTATCTGTGTATTCAAAATGGTTAGGATAGTATTCAAAATGGTTAGGATAGATATATAGTTATATTCTCTTAATGAATAGAGGGATTTGTTCTAATAGTGTTTGTAAATAGGATATCATGTCCACATCTTGTACAGCAAATAACCACTAGGAAGAATGTATGCAACGTGTTAATTATTGAAACTGTCCTACCAAAAAAAAAAAATTTTTTTTTTTTGAGATAGCTCAGTAGAATAAGA